AAAGAGCACACATACTATTTCCTACTCCCTCCAATCTCCTGTCTCCCTTCCTCAAAGAATTCAGCCTGTGGCCACTAGAGGTCTTTTCTTTCACATGGTAGCAGCCCAGCAGTTTGTTCGGCTTTTTATTTATTCCTACGTGAGCAGACCCACTACACTTCTTGCATCTAAACAGTGGAAATTACAACATGAAGGACTTATTATTCCTTCTCGTGGTTTAAGTCCGCGGCTGGCCAGAGCCTGGCTCGCTGTGCAAGGCGCGGGAGGACCTCCCCTGCAGGTAACCACTGCTTCAAGGTAAGAGGCTGGCCAGGCTTTCTTCTCTGTGATGGATGATCCCGTGAGAGAAAATGCGATCGTCTCTTGGACAATAGTTTACTTTTAAAGCTTTGGCGTAAAGGAGCCCTGGGGCTGGGCGCTGTGTGTGTGTGTGTGTGTGTGTGTGTGTGTGTGTGGTGGGAAATCCACCATTGTGAGAGCCGCAGGCTGCCCCAAATGCACAGGCACGGGAATGCTTGTCATTCCCAAAGGCTTGATTTGAATGTGAAGGGGGCAAAAGGCGAAAAACAAACCTCCGCGCTCAAGTTCACTGGCATTACCTTGAAAGGGCTGCATTGTCTGAAGCCTTGTTTAGAGAAACTTCCATGCTTCCTTTTAGAAAAACATCGAGAGGAGGGGGAGGGGGACGGGTCCCCACTGAGAGAGAGTGGCCGGTTCATGAAAGAAACCATTATCTTTGTGTAAGGACTGGCTCGGGGTGTTCCAGCTCCCCCACCCGTCAGCATTACTTTTGCCAGCGTGCCCCTTCCTTCGTTGTCACGGCCACGGAGAAACGCCGGCTGAGTGCCTCTCAGTAGTGCGGGAGACTGAAGTTTGGACAAGTTACCTGCATTTGGCTGTTAGTGAGAAATGACAGCGTTTCACTTCCAACGGGGAGCGCCCCTGTTTCTACCACGGTGTGGAGCCCACCTTAGAGCCACACCTGTCAGACATCCCACCGGGGTGACTGACTGATCCGTGAAATGGCTGGAGACGCCAGCCGCAGGTTCATATTTTGAAAGGGCTCTTCCAGTCATTTAAATTAAAAACAAAAAAACAAAATCAAAACCAGAAAACCTCTGTCTCGCAGACAGAATGATCGTTTCGCACTAGGCTCCTCTGTCGTGTCCCCCAGATCAGCAGTGTCCTGGGCATGGAAATCCACCTTTTCGCTTCCTGCCCCCTTCCCTTCTTACAAGTTTGAGATCCCCTGCATCCACCATGTTTTAAATGTTTAGAAAGAGAGAGGAGAATTGGGGATGGGGGTGATGGTCAGACTGCATCTGCCTGGGCAACTCAGATACTCCTGCCACTGGCACAGCTCAAACTTTATAGTGTAGCAGCCCACACCCCCAGCCCTGCCAGCAGCCTTTGAGGGCTGCGTGTGGAGCAGGGGGGTGGAGGGGTCCCCTGCAGTCCAGGCTGGTGAGGACCGCTTCTTCCCAGCCCTGGCCAAGATGCTGTAGTGGACATAGATTTACTACCAAGGCATGAGGCAGCCACTCATCCATACCCAAGCAGCATGCCAGGCGCCCGGATGGGAAATTGCTTCCCAAAACGGAATACCAGGGGGACCTGCATATCAAATTCCGGAGAGAAATTGTATCTGAGACGCTGGCACAAGCCTGGGCAGAGTCACCCCGGCTCCTCTCAGGGCGGTTTAAAACGTAGCTAATGAATCACAGCATGAGGAGACACGGTGTGAAACTAGGTCAAACGTGTAAAAATAAGTGCAATCATCCAGGCACTCGGCTGATGAGGGGCTGCTAAGCCTTTCCAGCCACCCAGACGATCAACCCTCTTCATTAATCCAGCCCAGCGGTGTGTGGGAGGTCTCGCACACCTGGGAGAGGGCCGAAGCTCCAAAGGCAAACAGTCGGGGTCCCTTCACTGTGCCCAGGCGAGAGGGAAAAAGAAAAACCCAGGATCGTGTGATTAATATTAATTAGCTGGGCTACTAGATGATTGTGATCAGGAGAGCAGCCCTCCACAAATCATCCTACTTCTTTGCATAAAAAAAAATCATCACCATCACCATCACCATCACCACCACATTGATAGCTTCGGTGCACAACACTCAACCTAACATACCTATTTAACCAGCTCTGATGCAAACGCACCTACACACCAGCCAGGACGCCTGCAGTGCCAGGGGAACCAGGAAGAGGCTAAAGGTTCCCCTGGCCTTGAAACACAAACAGAACAGGGGGAGGGGCATGGCTGCTGCCAATGTGTACCCCACTCACCTGAGATTGGGGGGAGTGATGAGATCGCAGAGGGAGGAAAACAGCCAACTTCCGGAGCTTGCTACCTAAAATGCCAACATTACTATGCGATACCAGCTGGTGACACGTTGCTATAGTAACTTCAAATAATGTGCACGACCAAAATAAAATAAAATCAAATAGAGAGAGCACCCAGGAAAGGAGATGAAGGAAAGTTTGCACACCCAGGGAGGCTCGCAGGGAGAGGAGACGTTCTGGTCTAGCTACTGGACCATCGATTTCCGTTGGAGACTAAAAGTGGCCGAGTGACACTTTGAGGTTGCTTCTCCATTTACCCCTGCGACTGCCATGTGGTTATATAACGGATTTTATTCTTGGATGGAATTGGTGCTGGCTGTGTGGCGGATCCAGGACCGAAGGTGGGAGGCTGTGGTGTCAGGAAAAACAGGGCGTCTACTACCCCTTCCTCCATCGGGCAGCTCAGAATGGGAGCTTGTGGTGAGATTTGCGGAGACTAGAGTATGCGTTCCATCTGAGCGACCATCAAGTTCTGGGCACTGCGCTAGGTGTTGGGGTGCAGCAGTGGGCAGGACAGATAAGGCTGTGTTTTCAAGAGCTCTGAGGAGCTTACATCCGGTTCTGCCAGGATAGAGAGCTTCAGAATGGGGGTCTAGGAGCGGGGCGGCCTGAGTTCAAATCTCAGCTCTACCCCTTACTAGTTGTGTGACCTTGGGCAGGGTCTTGTGCCTCAGCGTCCTCGTCTGTAAAAGGGGGTAGAAAGAGTCCCTTGGTCATACAGCTCTAATGAGAATTAAATCAATTTGTGTAAAGCACTGAGGACAGAGAAAGCCCTCAATCATTATCAACGATGACTACTATTGTCATTGCTGATGGCTCTGGTCCAGAGAAACTGTGCAGATCAGCTAACTGCAGTCCTGACCTGGGCAGAGGAAGTGATGCCTCCCCCTACCGGTGACCATCTGCGGGCACACCCGGTGCTCCCCATCACAGTGCGGGACCAACACCTAAGCGCCCTTAGACTCTGATGTTGGTTAACAACATGCCCAACGTCCAGCTTTTTAGTAAATCGACTGTGTGCCTCTCGGAACAGAGCATGCTGGGAGGTTTCCTTTATTTGGGGATAGCTGCTGGCAGGTAGGAAGGGTGACAACAATGTCCAAAAGCATGAAATGTTGAAAAAGTACTCCCTCAGCTGTTTGCTTTGGGGGTGCCTGTCTCTGTGCGGGCGCAGTGACATCCTTTGGTGACCAGGGGCCCTGCTCTGTGATAGCGTTAACCAAGGCACCGTCCTTCAGGGGCAGCTTCTGATGGCACAGATCCAGAGCTCCCTGAGACCTGCTCCATGTCAAAGGCCCAGCATCTCAGGAAAACAGGAAGGTGCCACGTGGTTGCCTTGTACTCTGGATGTGCCCTGACACACTCCTGTGTACGTCATGGCAGCTCAGAGGGTGAGCTGTGTGCAGCCCCGCCCAGTGCTGTGGGCATTGGCTAGAACTGCGGGCTTGGTGTCTTCTCAGAGAACTGCCCTCGCTGACAAGGAGCAGGAGGGCAGGGTCCCAAGACTGCTCTGAATCAAGGCCAGAAGAGGAGCCTGAATTGGTCACACATTCATCCTTTGAAACTAACCCCTTTGGATCCTGGTTGGAGCCCATGCACATGGCTCTGTGTGGGGTGACTTCAAATCTTCCAAGGAATACAGTGAGACCCTTCATCCCAAGGGGAGGTAGCAGACGGGAAAATTCCATTCATTCATCGCCTTACTGAATTATCTCAACAACCTCAGGAGGTCAGCTGTGTGCCCATTTCATAGAGGAGGAAAGTAAGATGCATGGAGGTCAAGCAGCTGGCCGAGACAGACGTTTAGTATACAATGGGGCAGGAATTAAAATCGGGGTCTTTCTGACTCCAACCTCTGTGTTCTTTTCATAAACCCACCATGTTGCCCCTGTCAGCACTGGCAGCTCCACCTGGGAGAAATTTCTGTCCACTTATTCATTGCTGTAGTGGCAGAATCTAGACTTGAACTTGTATGTAGTATGGGATTAGTAGAGGTTGGCTAGATGAGAGGCTGAGTTTATTATAAGATTCCCCATCTCTGAACGAATGTTACAGGAACCCCCCCACCTCCACAAACTATGGAATGTTAGGGTCACGTGTTGCCTTAGGAGAGAATTTGGAACTGAAAGAATTTTGTTCTACTCTGAGCACACTGCATCTAAAATTATATTTGATAAACCAGAGTGAGATTGTTCTTTCACACATTCCTTAATTTAGCAAGTATTTCTTAAGCACCTACTATGTTCTAGCACCCTTCCAGGTGCTGGGGATACAGCCATGAGTGAGATTAACAAGGGATTTCTGCTTAAGGAGCTCATATTCCTGTTGGTCAGAGGGCCAGGGGTGGGGAAACATATTAAGCAAGTAAATACATGTGTAAGATAATTTTAGACAGTGATATCTACTACTAGTAAAATATTACTAAGAGCCCAGTGGGTGTGGCTCAGAGGTTGATTATCGATCTATGAACCAGGAGGTCGTGGTTCGATTCCGGGTGAGGGACTATGCAGGAGGCAGCTGAACAATGTTCTCTCTCATCATTGGTGTTTCTACCTCTCTCTCTCCCTCTTCCTTCCTTTCTGAAATCAATACAAATATATTTTAAAAATATCACAAAGTAATGAGGTAGAATGGAATGGGGAGGGACCTATTTTCAGTGGGTGGCCTCTTAGAGAGCTGATGTTTTAATGTAGGTCTGAATAATGACAGTCAGTCATGCAAAAATCTGGCAGAACAGCATTCTGGGGCAACCGAACAGCAGGGGCCAAGGCCCTGAGGTGGGATGTGCGAAATGAGGGCAGGTGAGGTGTAAGACGAGGTCAGAGAGACAGGCGGTGGCCAGGTCCTGTGGGCCCCTGTGGATCAGAGACAAAAGTTTGGATTTTCTTCTAAGTGCAAAGGGAGGCCCCTGCTTTGGGTTTTAAGAAGCTCGCTCTGTCTGCTGTGTGTTTCAGG